ACAACAGAAAAAAATGATAGGTCACCATACTCGTTTGCGAGAAAATGACGATTTACCTCTATGGCGAGGTCCAGCTGTAAACAAAAAGCCGCCATTTTTAACTGCGCGCGCGCTAATCACGCGTAAAATTATGCGCAGTAAGGATGCGCCATGCAATACTGGGGAATGACCTTAAAGGGCTCAAAGTTGAGAGGGATTGTCACTAATTAAAGAATCTGATCAAGGCTGTCTTTAGCCCTTTTCTACCCTTTTCTAGAGCTTCAAAGATCTTTGCTCTGACAAAGGGCTTATACTCAAAACATCAATTTGGCATACTCATTACAGTCTAGTGAAGTCACCTTTATGAGCTTTAATAATCAGCTAAGTGTTTCACTTGCCTACTGATGCAGCCCTGCAGTTTCTTTAGAAAAAACAGCTTTGTTCATTAACTTGATCTGTGACCAATGTGAGTTATTACATCAGCCACCAAAGATAAGGTCTATACTCAGACTATTAGTTGGTGATGAAATTTAATATGATTATGTACAAACATTATGATAATTCATTTCCTCTGGCTGTAATTTGTTACATCTTGTTTCTAATACAAAGGGGGAAATAATTTAGCTGGCTGAAGAAGACAAAAAAAGGAAAAGATGGTTAAGTGAATGAGCTGAATAAAATTGGATCATGTGTACTAAAGGAATCCGCGGTCGACTGTCGATCGATACTGCTCTCCATCGATATTCTTGATCGACATGTCGATCGATACTCGACGGATCTCGATCGACACTCGATCGACAGTTGATCTACAGCCGGTCGATAGTCGGGCGAGTGTCGACCGAGAAGTCGATAGAGTGTCGGTGGAGTGTCGTTTGAGTATCGATTGAGCGTCGATCGATTGTCAATCGAAAGTATCGATCGAAACTCGACCGCGGATTTTAGTACACATGATCCGACAAATTCATGATGTACTGAAAAAAAAAATTATGATGCCACTTTAATTCCAATTGCAGCTGAATGAGTCAGATTTTTGGATCCCTGCTTGCATCCCATAGGGAAGATGAAGGATGGAAAGCCATCTGTCAAATAAAAGAGAAGGATGGTAAAACTGTTGGCTGTGGATGTTTGGTTTATGACCCACAGATAAATAACGCTGAGCTGAGCAAGTACTGTATCATTTCAAGTAGCAAAGTCATTCTACATGAGAATTTACCTGAATATCATATCCTCTTTGAAAGGGTATCAAACTCTGAAAATCCACGTGATATTCTACTGAATGACATTATCAAGAAAGATTTCATTCTTGGTTCTGGGTTGGTCTTGATATTCATCGATGGGGCCACATCCCCACAACTTCATCATCGTGGAGGTATTTTGCAAAGAGAATGCAGTGTTTTAAAACGTCTCCCTGAGATATCCTCACCTCATAAAGGAATAGAAAAGTTCTTTTATATTGGAAGAGAATGCCACAAATATGATGAAAAAAGCGGGATTGATGCTCCTGAGAAAGCAGGATCAGTTGCTAATGGTTGTGTTCTTTTTGAAAGAAATCCAGAGAGTAAGAAGTTAAATGTAGTTGGAGTAATCAATTGCTTTAATAGTGGACAGGAGGATATTTCTCCTCTTTGACTGACATCATCAAGCTTAGAAGAAATCATAGGTGAGTTCTTAGCTGTAGAATGCATAATGATACAAGGAAATTAACTAAAGATGATTTACAATTCCGGGCATTACCGTGTAGTTGTTTTTAATGATTGAGGTAAAATTTTGTGAATAGTCCCACACAGGTTCTTTGTAGATGCGAATTCTATATTCAGGTATGACTTGATAAAACACCCTTGATTTAAGCCTTTACTGCTAATAACTAAAAACTGCGCACAGAGACCTCAGTTTTTATTATTGAATTTTGATTAGTGAAATAAGATGCAACTTTTGACAAAGTTTAAAAACTAAAATCAGTATGTTCATGGGGTCCAGAGCCACCTGAAATTGTCGAAAATTTAAGGAGGCTTAAAGCTAAAAGTTAATAGACCTTATCACGGTTTTTGACACTATCTTGACGGGTAGGCAAAGCGGTCAGAAATTACAATGTTTGTCTGGAAATTCGAAGATACTAGGCAGAATATTGTATTCACCAAGTTTGAAGGATGTAGCGTGACTAGAAGACGCTCAGTTAATTTTTCTAATTTTCCATGCATTTTTCTGGACGTCCGTCTACCCAGCCAAATTTTACAGACAAATGTATGGAAAATTAGGAAAATTAACTAAGAGTCTTCTAGCCAAGGTACATCCTCCAAACTTGGTGATAACAATAATGTGCCTGGTATCTTAACGTTTCGATTGGTCAAAAACCCATGTTTTATCAGAGTATAAAACATAGAAAAAGCCTGTTTTATTGTTTTTCGCCGTATTACCTCTATATCACAAAGCAAATGAAGAAGCCTTAGCCGTGTATTGCACTGTGGAAAAACACTCCGGACATTTGAGAATACTCGAGAAATGTAGAAAACACTCGCCTGCGGCTCGTGTTTCTACATTTCCCTCGTGTTCTCAAATGCTCGTCGTGTTTTATCACAGTGTAATACACGGCTTAGGCGTATTTATTTGAAAAATATATCATTCTGGGAAAAAAATATATCATTCTGGTACTCTCGTCTCATTCGCGCTTTCCCTTTTGGGAATAATTATTATCTTTTCTTTCCTTCTTTTTTTTGGTTTTTGTTCATTACTAAATTCTCAATAAAGTTTATTAAAAAAAAAACAAACACAATACAGAAGCCAGAAGTGAAATGTTACAATACGCTTGAAAATTGTATTTTACCGTTAAGTCTCCCAACACTTTTGTCACTCGTTGTAGCTTGCTATTTCAGTGATCTGACTTGCACAGTGTCCCATATTAAATCCCTTAAATGCCAAATATATAAAACTAGTGAGATGAAATTGATTTCCAAATTGCCCGTTTTGCAGATCTTATGCATGCAGATCAGAGGAATCATTGTTAATAATTATCACCAAGTAAACCTGCCAACTTTTTTTAAATCAAATGTGTGTGATTTTTGTATACATTTTACTCAAATTTCAGAAAAAATTTGATGACTTACTAACATTACGGAAGATGTCCCAAGGACTTCCAAACATTGCCTAAGATCCCCGAAATAGCTGAATGTAGCTGTGTGAAGTGCCAAATCTTGGCACCATCTTCTTGTTATCTAGGACTGAAACATGACATTTAGCGCCATTCACTGGACTCTTTTGGGTGGAAATTTAACTCAATTTTCACGTTAGTGGTTACTGAACATTCAAGTAGTCTAGAAGTGTGAGTCATGCATGTGAAATTGTCCTGTATGCGTGTCATCGGCATTTTCAATCTGCAGGCATATGACATTCATAATGTGTGAGTTGGCAGGTATAAACATGTACAGGTCTAGTTTTAATGTATTTGAGCAAATGTTTGTGTGAGGAGATTTAAAGCTGTGGTTTGTTGTATTACACAGAACAAACACCTGACATAGATGTTGTGAATGATAATCAAAATTCAAACGAGGAGACGACAAATGAACCAGGTTCAGATGATGGTGGAACTCTAAGTGGAGGCAGTGCACAAACAAGAATTTCCAACCAGTTCAAAAGTAGGTTAAAGTGATCTCCATATATACTCAAGCTAAGAATTTAATGTAATTATTCCAATTATTTCCATGTACAGTTAGTAATATATGTGGGGCATTTGAGCCATCTGATTACCATCACCAAGGGTTACTTGGTATTCTATGTATATTCTATATATATTATTATATCATATTATATTATATTTTGTTATGTTATGTCACGTCATGTCATGTCACGTCATGTCATGTCATGTAATGTTATGTTATGCTATGTTATGTTATATGTTACTTGGTATTCGCCATTCCCCCCTGCTTCTTTGTCTAAGGGATATCATTAATCTGACAGGTTAGTTCCATTGTGTTACCTGTAAGAGCCTCAGTTGTAATGAGACTACAAATTTGATTTTTAAGTATGATAAATAAACAATATCTTGAAGTATATTTGAAATAATTCATATTTGAAATGCGGTTGTAGATGAAAGTGAAGAATGATCATCGCAGTAAATTTTTCCAATTTAAGCAATTGGAAAGAAGACGCCTGAATCATTCTTCACTTTCATCTACAACCGCAGTTCAAATATGAATTATTTCATATGTACTTCACATCATTTCACTCGTCGCGGGAAGATATGAACTCAATTAATTGACCTCGCTCCCAATGTGTGGCTTCAGTTGGTAAAGCATCGCACTGGTATCGCGGAGGTCACGGGTTCGAATCCCGTTGAAGCCCTGATTTTTTTCAGGTTTCTTCTTTCCAGTTGCTTAAATTGGAAAATTTACTGCGATGATCATTCTTCACTTTCAAGCAATCTCGTGATGAAAAAAAACCTATATTTTTGCAAATTAATTTGTTATTGGTATATAGAATAAAGTTAAGCACCTTATATTGACAAGCCTTACCATAAGCCTCAGAACACATGCAATATGCGGCAGAAGAAACACTAGCTTTTTCTAACTGATCCTCGTTTAAGTTAAAATAGCGTGTCTGAACTAAAGAATTATTAGAAAATTGAGCTTTTTTATTTAATAACATTGCCTAACAGTCTTTTGACTTTTTCATTAAAATATCTAAAACATTGTTTTCAATAATCAAAGACGGTGGCATTGTCAAAAAGGTGAGATTATTTATTTTGCATTTTGAAATTAAGTGGGACAGTATAGCATGTCTGAGACCTGCCCATACGTAAATGTTTGCTTTTTTTTGTAATAATATTATAGGACTCTGTCATATTTAAATCAAATCGAAGAAGTTACATGCCTAATACCGGATTCGAAAAATGTTTCGTAGAATATTGGTTTATTATCTATACACGAATGTCCTTGTTATTTCATATTATATTGTGCCACGGTTTCTCTGTTGTAAACTCGTCTCGAAAATCCGCCTACCATTGAAGCAGCTTGGTATAAAAATTGAGAAGAGGTTGTGGGATCCTTTATATTATAATTGAAAGGAACTGAAGGCTTCGTTTTACCTGAAAAGGCCGCCAAAACATTTTAGTACGTATCATGTAAGTAATTTTTCCATGTGCTGTCATTTACGCTGAAAATGTTCCTTAGCCAGGCTAGTCTTAAGGATTTAACCATTGTTTCTAGATGCATTATTTTCAGTCCACTCTTTTGATAATTGTTTATTACTGACAAATGTGTAACTTTGTCTACGCCTTTCCATAAAAATTTAAAAATCAATCGGTTCACTTCTTGGATAACTCCCTTGGAAGTAATTAATTATGACGATACATAACCAAACTTTCGGATAATGAGAGATTTTATTGTTGTTACCCTCCCCGAAAGAAAGAGACCTCTTGCAGACCAAATATTTACAAGTTTCTTAACGCTGTCCAGGTTTTTTATGAAGTTTTTTTTCGTGTAGTAGTTTTTGATTGTCAGAGTAATAAACCCTTGGTGCTTTAATTGGTTCATTTTGCCATTTAATACCAATTAAGGGTTTTGTTTTATTTTCTCTGAAAGATCCAATCCACATTCCTTCAGTTTTGTTCGGATTAATTTCTTAAAATCATCAAGCAGCCTGAAAAGAGTTTGAGCTGAGTTAATGTTCGAGAGGATTGCCGTCGTGTCGTCTGCGTATCGTGGCATAAATATTGATCAAACCATACATTTTATCGTTAAAATCTCTGCTTTTAGTATGACATAACTTCCCAAGGGGTCTGGAATTTTGGAATGGACCGTGCAATCAACACCCTTTTTAACAAAGATTGCCACTCCACATGAATTGGAGCTGCCATATGAGCCATAATAATCTCACTTCCCCGTTCATTTTTCCAATACGTTTCTGTCTTTTTTTGAGTGAGTTTTTCTGAAAGAATATGAAGTCTGCTTTCTGTTTACGACAGCAAGTAAATATCTTTTTCCTTTTCTTAAAGTTGCCATTTGGGGTAAACTTGAAAAGCATCAAGCCATCTTTTTTCACGCTAATCTCAATTTGGATGGAAGTGTCCTTAACAGTCAGGAATCATCCTTGTTTATTGTGATTTTGTCAATAAAAGACTGCAGTTGCTCTGTCAATTTGAAGTTTAGAGCTTGTAATTAATGAAAAAAAAAAACAGAACTAACTGGTAAACTTATACAGTGACCTGTAGCTGGCCCTTTTAAAGTTAAAAAATAATTGATTTTCAACAACTATTTTAGAGGCTAAATGCATATGTCCAAATAGAAGGGAATGTGCAACTGACTTAGTCATAACACTTGTTCTCTTTTTCCCTCTGAAATGGAAATCTTCATAGCTAGCAAACATTGCTTGATAGTATTAAACGTGAAACATACTAAGATAGCTCGTGGGTTGAAGTCATATCAATAATCAAGAGAAACAAAGACTGATGGGTCTACACCAGTTAAATAATTGTACAGTCTTACAGCAAGTCAAGTAAAGTTCTCAAACTCATTAATGATTCATCAATTTTAAACAAAGGAAATCATGACCGTGACGGTGTTTGAATATCTGATCTTAATTAGCATAGATTTTTACGATTTTATTTCTCCGTTTTCTTCTACATTTTAGTTTCGATTGAGAAGATATATCAAACACTCAAGACAGTGTTTGACCACATTTCCATACCCCTCGATGTTCGTCAGAAATGCTCCGCTACGCGTCGTATTTTCAATTCTCTTCTCGGTGTTGGGAAATGTGGTCAAACACTGTCTTCCCTGTTTGATATATTACATAAAGGCAGAGGCAGCGTGGTTGAGTGGATTGGGATGTCTGACTTGAAATTCGAAGGTCGCATTTCAAGTCATGCTTTAACCACTAACAGCTTCTTCATGAGTTTAGCTCCTCGGCAACGTTTGTAAATAGTCAACTAGTTTGTTTCCCGCCAGCTGGGACTTTTGACATTGTTATGTTTAATTTGAATTATTTAAAATGTAATTGTTCATTTCCACTAGCCTGAGCGAGGGTAAATAAAGGTAATTCATACTTGTTTACTTATTTAATCATTTTCAATTATTGAAATCAAATTGTGTACATACAGATTGTGTACGCTGTATGTAAGTGTTGACTGGTTGGCAAACACCATTACACTGGGCTAGAAATCAAGTACCGTCCATTCATCTAGATTTTCTTCTTGGGCAAGTTTACTTTTCATTCTCACTTGCCCAGAGGGCAAGGGCTCAGGGCAAAAAAAGACTTAAGTAAACTAAGACTTGCCCAGGGCAAGAAAAATATGAAGAACTGCTTGTCCCGAGGGCAACCTGGAATTTAACTATTTTAGAGTAAGAATAAACATAAAAACATGATCAAATAGGTCGTGACATAACTTAAAATTGTCCTCTGATTTTTGAAGCGTAACTACATACCTGCAGCAGTACATGTGATGCTAATAGAATAATTGTTTGCTCAGATTATGAATGTCTTAACTCTTACTCTGCAGAGGAAGAGAGGAAGAAGGAGGAGGAAGATATGAAGAAGAAGAAGGAAGAGCAAAATGGGGAAAAGGAAGAGGAAGAGAGGACAAAAATGGAACTGCAAGACTGGAAGAAGGAGGAGGAAGATAGGAGGAGGAAAGAAGAGCAAGGCAAGAAGAAGGAGGAGGAAGATAGAAAGAGGAAAGAAGAGCAAGACAAGAAGAAGGAGGAGGAAGATAGGAAGAGGAAAGAGGAGCAAGACAAGAAGAAGGAGGAGAAAGATAGGAAGAGGAAAGAAGAGCACGACAGGAAGAAGAAGGAGGAAGATAGAAAGAGGAAAGAAGAGCAAGACAGGAGGAAGGAGGAGGAAGATAGAAAGAGGAAAGAAAAGCAAGTCAAGAAGAAGGAGGAGGAAGATAGAAAGAGGAAAGAAGAGCAAGACTGGTAGAAGGAGGAACAAGAGACAGATCGTTTCCAAATTTCCTCGTTCCTTCAGTGTCTTGTAGAAGTTGTTAAATATTTATAAGAGATACTTGCAGAAAGAAAGAGAAGCAAAAAAGAATGAATGTTAATTGATGTATACTTCTCTTTATCACTGTAAGTATCTTTAGAACACATTTAATATTTATAAAAGATACTTGCAGTAAGAAATAGAGGAATATACAGTAAGTATATATATTCATGTGCCCGTTGCATCCATACACCCCACCATTCCCTTCCTTATAGGTATTGGGGTAGATGATACGCTCGCTGAGCTCTGGAAGTTAGCGATGATTCCCGAGACAAAATTTATTTACCCCTTTTTTTTATGAGAGGGATTCTTTACTGTATTCCAAAAAATCAGCTTTATGACAATCAGTCTTGAACATTGAGTAAAAAATCAACTTCTTGTTATGTTCTATCAAGTTTAATTGATGTTGAGTCATTTCTTTGTTGAGAGTTAATCGAACTTGAGAAATGTATTCAGAAATAATGTATTTAGATTTGATATTTTAAAGAGGTCGGTAACTTTTAGCATAATGCGTTTTTTGTTTTTGTCAGCTAGGTCTTTTGATATTTGTAAACATTGTTTAACAATGCTGTCCTCTGGTTGGTTTTCTAGGTGTATCCAAAATTTAATAACAATCATGTCAGTTATTTCTCTTAGAGGCAACCGACCAAGTTCATTTCTACAGGCTGCATTTGAACATTGTTTATCAACACCTACAACTTGTTAAAAGAAATATAGCTGTGTTTTTTCAATTGTCTTTCTCCCACGAGTTATAATCATCTTTTTCTTAAATGCTCCAAACCTCAGAGCCATACATAAGAATTGGAAGATATAAGGAACAAAATATTTTGTTCATAAAATCGCCTGGCAATTTAAGAAAATCAAGGTAACGTGTAACTATCGGTAATTTCAACTTTATCTTTATTGATGTAGAAAAGATGTTTAGCGTGGGTCGAGTTTCTATGTTTCTTTTGGAAAATAACAGCTTTTTGCATTAATTTTCATGATCCAGTCATGACAAAATTGAGAGTGTGTACAATGCATCTTGTAGCCCTGTAACTGAGTGTGTTGCCGCCGCATGGCCACATTTAATTCTTTTGTTATTTTTTTTTTCGTTTGTATGCCCATTCTATCCGTCATCAGCCCATTCTTTTCTTTATCTCGCTCTCTTCTCACCGTTTTCATCGCTATCATCGCCTTCATCGTTTTCACCTTTTAAATTGTCCAGTTCGTGGTTTCGATTAAAGCATACTAGTATAGCGTATTGGACTTTTGACTACCTTGTTACATGAAATATTCGCGACACGTTAATTTCGCGAATTTCGCGATTTAAAAAAAGTCGCGAAATTTAAGTGACGCGAAAAATAAGTGTCACGAACATAACATGACGCGAAAATTAAGTGACTCACATTATGTTACTGTTGACATATAGTTCCACCGTTGTGTTTTTGTTAATTTCGACGTTATTGCACCTTTGATAACGTCGGTTTAATAAATTCAAGGTCATGTTGAAGTAACATTGCCATGGAAATAAATACGTGTTACTCAAAAACGTGAAGTTAAAGTGATTCAAAATACAAAATTTTCGCAAATCGCGGAATTTAAGTGTCGCGAAATATGCGCACCGCAAAATCACGAAATAAACGTCGCGAAAATTTCATGTAATAAGGGCAATATTCATTGAAACGTAGCTAAACGTTATGGATCAAATCGAGGGCATTAGAAGCCAACAGGAACAAACTGGATTGGAAAGCGACAGTTCGGAATCTGCGGACGCTGCCCTCGCAACCGGTGTAACAACGCGAAGGCAGCGCACCAAAAAAGGAAAGCCTACATCGCTCACCTTCGATGGAAAGACTGTCAAACTGTCGATAAAATAATGCAACGGCAATCATTTCCTCGGCGACTACCAAAGAAAACGTGGACGTCGTGGAAAGAAATCTGACTGCATTTCGCGTTACCGTGGAAGAATTAACGAGATGTGTCGCTGCACTGTTGGATGACCTCGAGGGTGAAGGTGACCAGCTAAACGTAGCTAAAATTCGGTATGCCGACAAGAGTAAGCAATCAAGCGATGTTATCGAAAAACTGTTCGCTGGATTTCCTCTGCGAAAGAGGTCATCGAGCAGAATTTGGAGGTTAGATCTCAAGCGAAAGAAAAGGCAAAAGCAGCAACAATTAGCAGTTGCTCAAGTTCTTGAACGTGTCTTCGCAAAAATCGAGATTGGTGTCAAGGAAGATTTTTAGAAGCCTTGTGTATTCCAGGATTTTCCCTCTCTGGGCCGTCTTTTCCGTCTACGTCCAGCATTTACACCGTTACCAGCGCAACGTCGAACACTGTAACGAACGTGAACTTCACTGCGACAGGCGCGGATCCATACCAGTTTCCACCGTTTTACGGAAATCGGTCGGAATTTTCATAATAATAATAATAAAAAAATCAATAGATATGTATACATTTTTAATAAAAGTAAACTGCAAGTTGAATCTCGAATATGGTTTTGACATTTATTTTTTATTTATCCTTTTTTGCTAATTACCGGAAATAGACAAGTGTTATAGACACGTTCTGGCGGCAAAATTTTACAGCCGGGAAATCACTAGTCTCCCGACGGCGGTCACGCCATCACATCATCGCCTCTAGACCAAAATTAGAATTTCCCGGGCGATTTGTGCAATTCTGCTGCTCGGTTAGCCTGTATGATCATTCAACGTCTTTGGACAACGACTTCAACAAGAGTGTGGAATACATAACGACGTCAAGATGTCACAAATTACTGACTACTTCAGGAAAAAAGGTTAGTTCGGGTCTTTGTTAATAATGGTTGAGAGTGGACAAATTAATTTTACTGAAA